TGAAGTGCACTTAGCGAGTCTGATAGGATGACTGCCTTTGCTTCCGGGAGTTCCGGTATGAGTTTGAGTGCATGATGAATTGCCTCCAATTCAGCCGTGAATACTGACTGACCATCGGGCAAGCGAACTGAATGTGCTTGGGGTTTGGAGCTGTGGATATGGATCCCGTAACCAGCACTGTTGTTGATAGGATTCTTGGATCCATCAGTGTATATATGGGCCCAGCTGTCCCAGGTAGTTTGAATTTTAGTGATAGCTACTGATCGTAGTAGGGTTGGGTTTTCTCTTTTAGTGACTTCTGATGTTAAAGCAGTGTCAACTTTGGGAGTTTGTAAAGTCCAGGGAGGGTGTAACCCTTTGTAGTGACTTTCTGGAGGCTGAATGTCATCGCAATTGTGACTTCGAATGAGTTCACGTACTAATATCCCAGATGGCTTTAGTGAGGGATTTTTTCGAGCTAGGGCCTCATCTCGAGCGTTTTTGTCTTGCCATATCTTTTTAACCAAAGGGTTTGATGTTCGTCCCCAGAACGATAATATTGCCTGCACTCGTCTTAGTTTCAATGGGAGTTCTCCCGTTTCTACTTGTAGTGCTTCTAGTGAGGTGCCTGTCGCTGCGCCTGTGGCCAGTATTAGGGCTTTGTATTGTATTCTGTCTAGTCGCCTCAAGACAGTATTTGATGCTGAGTGAAAAGCCTCACAACCATAGTCAATTTTTGATCTGATAAGAGCTTTGTAGAGGTCCAGCTGAGTGTCCCTCGATGTGCCCCAAGATGTGCCTGAAATTGCCCGTAATACGTTCAGGTCTTTTTGACATCTGTTTTCCACATATTCTATATGCTTGCGCCAAGTGAGGTGTTGATCAAGGATAACTCCAAGAAATATTGCAGATTTTTCGAATTTGATAGGTTTGCCTTTTATGGAGACACGGGGTATCATAGCATCTTTCCCCCGGCGTTTGAATAGAACTCCAACAGTTTTTTCACTTGAAAGGGTGAATCCCCATTTATTGCACCATTGATCTACTCCGTCCAGGGCTGACTGGAGTTTTTTTCTGATTTGTGAGATATCTCTGTGCTTTACCCATATTGCTCCGTCATCAGCGAACTTAGAAGTTTGGGTAGGAGAGTTGACATGGTCAAAAAGATCATTGATCATGATATTAAACAGGGTTGGGCTTATAATGCTGCCTTGTGGCGTGCCATTGTCCAGTGCCATAGGATCCGATTGATTGTTCCCTATTTTAACTGAAAGCGACCTGTCTTGCAGGAAGCTGTCTATGAAGTTTGCCATGTTCCCTTCAACTCCATTTTGTGATAGTTTTGAGAGGAGTCCGTCATGCCATACCATGTCGAAGGCTTTGCTGAAGTCCAGAAATACTGCGGCTAGGTATTGTCTGTTTAATTGGGCTTTTTTTATTTCATTTTCCAGTCTTAGAATATGATCTAGACACGAGTGTCCCTTCCTGAAGCCACTTTGGTCAGGTTTTATGTGGTTGCCAGTTTCAAGATGATGCATGAGCCTTTTTGTAACCATGGCTTCCATGGCTTTGCACATGTTTGAGGTGAGTGAGATCGGTCGATAAGAGTTTGGTAGGGCTTCATCTTTCCCTTGCTTTAGCAGCGGGATAACCGCAGCATGTTTCCATGCTTTTGGGACTTCTCCTTTGGACCATATCGTGTTATACAACTCAGTGAGTAAGCCTTTGGTTTGATCAGGTAGGTTTTTCAATATCTCGTAGCTGGTTGTGTCAAGATCAGGTGCTGTGCCTTTTCTATGTTGTATCGCATCATCAAACTCTGTCACAGTAAATGGTATATTGTATACCAGATGCTTGCTTTGCGGCCGTTTTGAGATCTTAGGCATAAGCATTTTTGCCTGTTTGAATTCTTCGCTGCAATTTGTGTTGCTGCTGACAGATGAGAAGTGCTCAGCTAGAATGTTGGCCTTTTCTTTGACTGTATGGGCGTTGGCTAACTTGGGAATTTTTGTGGGTTTACGCTTACCCCTGATTGCGTGTATTTTGCTCCAGACTGTTTTAGCATTTGTTTTCGCATTAAGGGATTTGCAGAAGGTCTGCCATGACTCTTTTTAAGAATCGTCTATGAGTTGTCTTACTTTCGTCCTGGCTGCTCGGACTTGGGCAAAGGCTGATTTATCCTGATGGTCCCCGCTGGAACGCCGGACTGGCGGCTCACGCTGGCCATGTGAAGCGCCATCTTTAACTTTCTTCACAACGTCTAGCTTTTCTTGCACTGTGTACGCTTTCCTCATGTTGAAATTGGAATGCCCCTGATCTTACTTACTTACTTTGGAGATTTAACGTGCGCTTTCCGACTGATGCGTATTTCGCACACGGGCCCGGCCAGGCCATTTAATGTGTTTCTGAAAGGGGCGAAGGTGGTCTGTGCAACTCAAGAGGGGGGTTTTAGGGGTTGCTTATATAGAATTTAGGAATTTTGAGATTTGGAATAGATGCCGATGGGATTGGGGAGGAGAACTAAGGGAGCTGGGTATGGTGGATGTTTGTTTGTTTATGTGATTTTGATTTGGTAGGTTATTGTGTTTTTAGATGCGTTTTATTAGTTCCGTTTTTATTAAGAATACGCCTAAGGCCTTGAAGTTTTCTAGTTTATTTTGTGGGTTTAGTATTGCTTCTAGAGTTAGAGCCTTGTTTAGATTGAGGGTGGTTTGTAATGCGGTTCGATGTGTTAGGTAGTGTGTGCAGTGGATGAGTGCGTGTTCTGGGGTTTCTGGTTGTTTGCAGTGTGGGCAGTTACCTGTAGTGTGTTTTTTAAATTTTTTTAGGTGGTTATTTAGGTTGGTGTGTCCTGTTTGGAGTTTAGTGATTACTCTGTCGATTTTTTTGGATGGATGGAGAATTTTTGGTTTGGTTAGTGGTTTGCTGAGCACTTTTTTGATTTGGCTATTTGAGTTTAGATATAGGTTATGCCATTTTTTTGTGATTTTTTGCTTGTTTACACTTTTAATTTCTGATTTTGAGATGGGTAAGTTTAAGCTTATTTCTGGGATTTTGAGGGATAGTTTAGCTGCTTTATCGGCGTTTTCATTACCGTATATTCCTACGTGGGCGGGTATCCACAAGAAGGTTATTTGTTTGCCTGCCTTAGTTAGGTCGTTGGAGCTTTTAAGTATTTGATTTATTAATTTAGGTCGGTTTTTGGTATTTTTGTTTTGGAGGGCTTGCAGTCCACTTAGGGAGTCGGTAAGTATTAGGATTTTTTTGTGGTTTTTGGATTCTTGATTATGGAGGGCTGAGGCCATGCCCATTAGTTCTGCCGTGAATATTGATTGGTTGTTTGGGAGTCGGAAGGATTGTGTGGTTTTAGTTGGTTGTGTGGTATGGACTCCGAAACCTGTGTGTTTGGAGGTCGGATCTGAGGATCCGTCCGTGTAAATGTGACACCAATTTGGCCAATTTTCGTGTATGTATGCTAGTGTGGTAGTTTTAGCTATGTTTGGGTCGGTTTGTTTATTTATTTGGCTAGCTAGTGTTGTGTCTATTTTGGGTATTTTAAGTTTAGGGGTGAAGATATTTGATTGATCTGATAAATTCACTTTATATACAGTAACGTATGTCAAGCCAGTTTAATTGGTTTGATACGGTTACTTGATCCGAATCAAAAGGAATGACCGTCGTGTTGTGACAGTAACTAATGTGAGTTGACAGTGTCGCCTCAAATTGGATTGCCCACTAATTAACTTGTGATTTTTGTGAACTTCGCTTGTGGTTCTCTTTTATTGCATGCATGCGCTTCTAAGATCAAAGGATGTATAGTGTGAAAAGTTAACTAGTAGAACAATCGTATTTCCGGGACCTGCCGCGGATGTTTTCAAACAGATTATTAGAACTCCATTCAGCGATAAACCGTTGATTATGCAATGAGAAGCGTTATGTGCAAATAAACAACGAACAACAATACAATCATGTCTGTGTAAAACTCTCAGTATTAAAAGTGTACATAAATTTTGGGAGCCATGCGTTACCGCGCGTAATAACTGAAGTAGCGCTTTATCGAAGAGCATGCACGTCGATATATACATGTAATAATCTTGGAAGCGACATTAAACCCCATTTCACCTCACCCCACATATATTATATGGGAATTAATTACATTAATTCTTTTTAAAAAGTGTGAATTTTACATTTGCAATTTAAATATTGCACAACAGTTTCAAATGTCTAATCAAATGCATTTCCTTGGTTGATGAATATGTATATTTTTTTTTTAAATTCATAATTAAAACCATTAGTCCCTCGTCCCACTCAATTTTCAATTTAAATGTGTCTGATTTTGCACTTCAACTTGTATTTAATTGAAGATTATTTTAAGACAAAAGACAAAATCGCTGACACGAATATGACCCAAAAGAGATATCGGCGGAGCTCAGCGATTCTACAACATTAATACCCTGGGCAAGGTAGATTCTACGACGGTGTATACAAAGGGAAACCACTCCCATCTAAAGAATAAACTTAGATTAGCTGCACTTGAGTTATCCAAAAGGTCACAGGCGTTACCCGTTTTAATACCTCCCTTGATTAGCGAAACGGTATGTTGTTTCACCCTTCTTTCAGCATTGAGTCAGGTGGGAGCATTGACTTGATAGTTATGTGGTTCACTATAGCAATTAACAATATTTCTACGTTAAATCTGTGGTGCATTCTTTGTGTTGTTGAAGTGTTGATTCGAATCATACAGATTAAACAAAATAAAGACAATGTTTGAACGTGAAGCAGTTTATTTATGTGAAACAGACCCTGTCTTGCACGCCATTTTGTCAAGTTTATTTAGGGGAGTACAATGATCTTGACTACAATCACTTTGTGCAAGTGGATGGCGATTTTAGCCAAAGCCAAAGATCGTGATCTTAAGAATTTACAATAATTGTAGCACTAAGATTGTTCTGTGCAAGTGGACCCATGACTATTTATATACTTGTGTGGGTAAGTAGCAAGCATCAGGATTATTTCATTACCTGTATGGGCGAGCAGCTAGCAGCAACAATAAGTAGAGGCCTGAGATTGACAGCAGAACAATGGATTGTTGAAGGGGACTGTTGAAAATAGGACACAGAACAGTAGTAGAACACTCATACATCCCTGACACACCCTCTCCTTCACTACACTAAAGACCCATGAAGATCCGGGTAAGAATAGGCCTTTAGCAACCCATGCTTGCCCTGAAAAGCGACTATACATGTCATTAGAGGTGACTAATGGGATCGGATGGTCAGGCCTGCTGACTTGGTTGATGCATGTGATCACATCCCAATTGTGTGGATCGATGCATACAATGTCAATCACTGGATTGCCTGTCCAACTCGATTATTTACAAGCCGCTGTCACATAGCTGGAATCTTGCCAATTGTGGCATTAAACAAAAACAAAAAAAACTACACAAGATGTCTGACTTACCCATCACTGACACACCCTCTCCTTTATAACACTAGGAGTCGTGTATACCCATCACTGACACAACCTCTCCTTCACTACACTAGGAGTCATGCATACCACACACTGACACACCCTCTCCTTCACTACACTAGGAGTCTTGTATACCTATCCCTGACACATCCTCTCCTTCACTACACTAGGAGTCTTGTATACCTATCACTGACACACCCTCTCCTTTATAACACTAGGAGTCTTGTATACCCATCACTGACACACCCTCTACTTCACTACACTAGGAGTCTTGTATACCTATCACTGACACACCCTCTCCTTTAAAACACTAGGAGTCATGCATACCACACACTGACACACCCTCTCCTTCACTACACTAGGAGTCTTGTATACCTATCACTGACACAACCTCTCCTTTATAACACTAGGAGTCATCCATACCAAACACTGACACACCCTCTCCTTCACTACACTACACTAGGAGTCTTGTATACCTATCACTGACACACCCTCTCCTTTAAAACACTAGGAGTCATGCATACCACACACTGACACACCCTCTCCTTCACTACAATAGGAGTCTTGTATACCTATCACTGACACACCCTCTCCTTTATAACACTAGGAGTCTTGTATACCCATCACTGACACACCCTCTCCTTCACTACACTAGGAGTCTTGTATACCTATCACTGACACACCCTCTCCTTTAAAACACTAGGAGTCATGCATACCACACACTGACACACCCTCTCCTTCACTACACTAGGAGTCTTGTATACCTATCACTGACACACCCTCTCCTTTATAACACTAGGAGTCTTGTATACCCATCACTGACAAAACCTCTCCTTCACTACACTAGGAGTCATGTATACCCATCACTAACACACCCTCTCCTTCACTACACTAGGAGTCTTGTATACCTATCACTGACACACCCTCTCCTTCACTACACTAGGAGTCTTGTATACTTATCACTGACACACCCTCTCCTTTATAACACTAGGAGTTTTGTATACCCATCACTGACAAAACCTCTCCTTCACTACACTAGGAGTCATGTATACCCATCACTAACACACCCTCTCCTTCACTACACTAGGAGTCTTGTATACCCATCACTAACACACCCTCTCCTTCACTACACTAGGAGTCTTGTATACTTATCACTGACACACCCTCTCCTTTATAACACTAGGAGTCTTGTATAGCCATCACTGACACACCCTCTCCTTTACTACACTAGCAGTCATGTATACTTTTCACTGACACAACCTCTCCTTCACTACACTAGGAGTCATGCATACCCCACACTGACACACCCTCTCCTTCACTACACTAGGAGTCTTGTATACTTATCACTGACACACCCTCTCCTTCACTCAATAGGAGTCTTGTATACCTATCACTGACACAACCTCTCCTTCACTACACCAGGATTCTTGTATACCCATCACTGACACACCCTCTCCTTCACTACACTAGGAGTCGTGTAAACCCATCAATGACACACCCTCTCCTTCACTACACTAGGAGTCTTGTATACTTATCACTGACACACCCTCTCCTTTATAACACTAGGAGTCTTGAATAGCCATCACTGACACACCCTCTCCTTTATAACACTAGGAGTCTTGTATAGCCATCACTGACACACCCTCTCCTTCACTACACTAGCAGTCATGTATACTTTTCACTGACACAACCTCTCCTTCACTACACTAGGAGTCTTGTATACCTATCACTGACACACCCTCTCCTTCACTACACTAGGAGTCTTGTATACCTATCACTGACACAACCTCTCCTTCACTACACTAGGAGTCTTGTATACTTATCACTGACACACCCTCTCCTTCACTCAATAGGAGTCTTGTATACCCATCACTGACACAACCTCTCCTTCACTACACCAGGATTCTTGTATACCCATCACTGACACACCCTCTCCTTCACTACACTAGGAGTTGTATAAACCCATCACTGACACACCCTCTCCTTCACTTCACTAGGAGTCTGGAATACCCATCACTGACACACCCTCTCCTTCACTACACTAGGAGTCTTGTATACCTATCACTGACACACCCTCTCCTTTATAACACTAGGAGTCTTGTATACCCATCACTGACACATCCTCTCCTTCACTACACTAGGAGTCATGTATACCCATCACTAACACAACCTCTCCTTCAGTACAAGAGTCTTGTATACCCATCACTGACACACCCTCTCCTTCACTGCACAAGGGGTCTGGTATACCCATCACTGACACACCCTCTCCTTTATAACACTAGGATTCTTGTATACCCATCACTGACACACCCTCTCCTTCACTACACTAGGATTCTTGTATACCCATCACTGACACACCCTTTCCTTCACTACACTAGGAGTCTTCTATACCCATCACTGACACAACCTCTCTTTCACTACACTAGGAGTCTTGTATACCTATCACTGACACAACCTCTCCTTCACTACACTAGGAGTCTTGTATACTTATCACTGACACACCCTCTCCTTTATAACACTAGGAGTCTTGTATACCCATCACTGACAAAACCTCTCCTTCACTACACTAGGAGTCATGTATACCCATCACTAACATACCCTCTCCTTCACTACACTAGGAGTCTTGTATACCTATCACTAACACACCCTCTCCTTCACTACACTAGGAGTCTTGTATACCTATCACCGACACACCCTCTCCTTCACTACACTAGGAGTCTTGTATACTTATCACTGACACACCCTCTCCTTTATAACACTAGGAGTCTTGTATAGCCATCACTGACACACCCTCTCCTTCACTACACTAGCAGTCATGTATACTTTTCACTGACACAACCTCTCCTTCACTACACTAGGAGTCTTGTATACCTATCCCTGACACATCCTCTCCTTCACTACACTAGGAGTCTTGTATACCTATCACTGACACACCCTCTCCTTTATAACACTAGGAGTCTTGTATACCCATCACTGACACACCCTCTACTTCACTACACTAGGAGTCTTGTATACCTATCACTGACACACCCTCTCCTTTATAACACTAGGAGTCTTGTATACCCATCACTGACACACCCTCTACTTCACTACACTAGGAGTCTTGTATACCTATCACTGACACACCCTCTCCTTTAAAACACTAGGAGTCATGCATACCACACACTGACACACCCTCTCCTTCACTACACTAGGAGTCTTGTATACCTATCACTGACACACCCTCTCCTTTAAAACACTAGGAGTCATGCATACCACACACTGACACACCCTCTCCTTCACTACACTAGGAGTCTTTTATACCTATCACTGACACACCCTCTCCTTTATAACACTAGGAGTCTTGTATACCCATCACTGACACACCCTCTCCTTCACTACACTAGGAGTCTTGTATACCTATCACTGACACACCCTCTCCTTTAAAACACTAGGAGTCATGTATACCCATCACTAACACACCCTCTCCTTCACTACACTAGGAGTCTTGTATACCTATCACTGACACACCCTCTCCTTCACTACACTAGGAGTCTTGTATACCTATCACTGACACACCCTCTCCTTTATAACACTAGGAGTCATGTATACCCATCACTAACACACCCTCTCCTTCACTACACTAGGAGTCTTGTATACCTATCACTGACACACCCTCTCCTTCACTACACTAGGAGTCTTGTATACTTATCACTGACACACCCTCTCCTTTATAACACTAGGAGTCTTGTATACCCATCACTGACAAAACCTCTCCTTCACTACACTAGGAGTCATGTATACCCATCACTAACACACCCTCTCCTTCACTACACTAGGAGTCTTGTATACCCATCACTAACACACCCTCTCCTTCACTACACTAGGAGTCTTGTATACTTATCACTGACACACCCTCTCCTTTATAACACTAGGAGTCTTGTATAGCCATCACTGACACACCCTCTCCTTTACTACACTAGCAGTCATGTATACTTTTCACTGACACAACCTCTCCTTCACTACACTAGGAGTCTTGTATACCTATCACTGACACACCCTCTCCTTCACTACACTAGGAGTCTTGTATACCCATCACTAACACACCCTCTCCTTTACTACACTAGGAGTCTGGTATACCCATCACTGACACACCCTCTCCTTCACTACACTAGGAGTCTTGTATACTTATCACTGACACACCCTCTCCTTCACTCAATAGGAGTCTTGTATACTTATCACTGACACACCCTCTCCTTCACTCAATAGGAGTCTTGTATACTTATCACTGACACACCCTCTCCTTTAAAACACTAGGAGTCATGCATACCACACACTGACACACCCTCTCCTTCACTACACTAGGAGTCTTGTATACCTATCACTGACACACCCTCTCCTTTATAACACTAGGAGTCTTGTATACCCATCACTGACAAAACCTCTCCTTCACTACACTAGGAGTCATGTATACCCATCACTAACACACCCTCTCCTTCACTACACTAGGAGTCTTGTATACCTATCACTGACACACCCTCTCCTTCACTACACTAGGAGTCTTGTATACTTATCACTGACACACCCTCTCCTTTATAACACTAGGAATCTTGTATACCCATCACTGACACAACCTCTCCTTCACTACACC